ATCTTCTCTCTCTCTCAAATAAATAAATAAAATCTTTAAAAAAATAAATAAATAAAATAAAATAAAAATATAATAAAATTATGCTCTGAAAGTGTAATAATATCAAGTTCCAGGAAATCACTAATAGAGAAATAATAATTAAGATTACTACACAGTTTTGTTTGTTTAAATAAGATACTCAAATAGATGCTGTCTCCTTACTGAGGATCCCTGCTAGGCAATTCTGCCCTTCAGGATGGTCCTAACTTCACCCTGTTCAACTTTCCAGGGTACTGTACCCTCAGGAATTTCAAACATGTAATCTAACAGCTGATTTAGGATGATAAAAACCAAGTTAGTATCTCTGTAATTGTTTGAGGTTTTGGACTGGGACTCACTGGAAAATACATTATTGAAAAAAGAGGTTAAGCATATTCTGGCATTATAAGCCTAAAACAAACCTTTAACTCATCCTAAATTGATTGCCAAATGAAAACCATTCTTCAGGTTTATGGTAAACATTTACTAATGCAAACTTTATTTATTTTTTTAAAGTAGGCTCCCAGGGGGCGCCTGGGTGGCTCTGTCCTTAAGCGTCTGCCTTCGGCTCAGGTCATGATCCCAGGGTCCTGGGATGAAGCCTGCATCTGGCTCCCTGCTCTGTGGGGGGCCTGCTTCTCCCTCTCCCACTCCCCCTGCTTGTGTTCCCTCTCTGGCTGGCTGTCTCTCTCTGTCAAATAAATAAAATCTTTAAAAAAATAAATAAATAAAGTAGGCTCCCGGCCCAGCATGGAGCCCAACACGGGGCCTGAACTCATCACCCTGATATCAAGACCTGAACTGAGATCAAGAGTCCAACACTCAACCAATTGAGCCAGACTGATGCCCCATAATGCAAATGTACATAAAACAAAGCTGTAGCTCAAGAATTAACTAAAGTGACACTCTGGATTTTGTCTACTGGTATGTTACCTATTAGTTTTCCCACTTTACTTACAAGTTTGTAGGCTATTCTAATAAAAATGAAAAAAGGATGCAACTACATGACACCTCATTAAAAACTCAATTTCTTTACCTGAAGCAGTTCTATTGCTTTTGTGTGCTGCTTTTCACGGCAGAGCTGGGCAGCTTGGATTAATATAGGCAGGAGATGCTCAGGACTTTGGGACTGTAAACTGGCAGATATTTTGCGGCACTGTTCTGCCTAAAAAACAGTATTTCCCCCCACAAAAATAAGCTGGTTAATGCAATTAAACATTAAGTGAATAACCAAAAAGAAAAGGAAGGGGTGGAAGGGGAAGGAACTCAGCTGAAAGACAATAGTGAAGAACTATCTAGGGTAAAAGAACTGGTTTACAGTATCTATTTTCAATTTTCTCCTGTAAGAAAAGATTTCCATTTACTGAATTTAAGCTATGAGTTACAAAAGCATTTAGGAAAGGACTATTTCTTTGGGGAGGGGAGCAGAAGGAGAGAGAGAATCTTAAGCAGGCTCCACGCCCAGCTTATAGCCCGACACCCAACATGGGCTCAATCTCACAACCCTGAGATTATGACCTGAGCCAAAATCAAGAGTTGGACGTGTAGGGGCGCCTGGGTGGCTCAGTTGTTAAGCATCTGCCTTCGGCTCAGGTCATGATCCCAGGGTCCTGGGATCGAGCCCCACATCGGGCTCCCTG